GTGGGGTGATAGAGGCTAGGACCTTGGGTAGCTTTAAGAAGAGACTGGACAAATATATGAGTGGGAGGGGCTGGGTTTGATTGGTGTCATGGGGTACGGGAGTTATTTCTTGGGTGGCTTTAGGTAGAGATCGTTTTGATAAGGACCTGCCTCGTATGGGCCAGTAGGCCTTCTGCAGTGTTCCTACATTCTTATGTTCTTATTACTGCACTACAAATAACAAAAAAAGGCACAATACCATGACTGGAACGATACACAAATAACCCGCACATAGAAGAGATCACGTCAGAGATCACAGCCATCCTATTGACTGGTCTTCTGCTAAAACTGTCTTCCCTACTTTTAACTTTAACAGTCGCCGTCTGGTTGAACCCTCTCTAATACACAACTTTCCTTGTATGAATCTTAATCCTGGCTTAGTCTCTGTAAGTGCCTTCCTCTCCCACTACATTGTAAACTGCTCCAAACTTCAGAACACCCATGACTTAACCTGATTCCTCCTTTTTTCTTCTTCTCCCTCTTTCCTTTTTTCTCCTCTAGGTTGTCTTTCTTTCTTCTGTCTCGTGTTTCTGTTCCTTCATTATTTACTTCATCACTTCCGTTTCCCCCCCACCTCTGTGTACTTGCTCTCCCTCTGTGGGCACCTAGCTCCCTTGCAGTGCTCCCCTTTCTTTGTATTTGACTGGCTCCTCCTCCTTACTCCCCACTACTACCACTACCACTACCTCTACTACTACTACTACTACTACTTCTACTACTACTACTTCTACTACTACTACTTCTACTACTACTTCTACTACTACTTCTACTACTACTACTACTACTTCTACTACTACTACTACTTCTACTACTACTACTACTTCTACTACTACTACTTCTACTACTACTTCTACTACTACTACTTCTACTACTACTACTACTACTACTTCTACTACTACTACTTCTACTACTACTTCTACTACTACTACTTCTACTACTACTATTCTACTACTTCTACTACTACTACTTCTACTACTACTACTTCTACTACTTCTACTACTACTACTACTTCTACTACTACTTCTACTACTACTTCTACTACTTCTACCACCACTACTACTACTTCTACTACTACTACTACTACTACCACCACCACTACCTCTTCCTGCCTATATACAGTGGACCCCCGCATAACGATTACCTCCGAATGCGACCAATTATGTAAGTGTATTTATGTAAGTGCGTTTGTACGTGTATGTTTGGGGGTCTGAAATGGACTAATCTACTTCACAATATTCCTTATGGGAACAAATTCGGTCAGTACTGGCACCTGAACATACTTCTGGAGTGAAAAAATATCGTTAACCGGGGGTCCACTGTATACCCGTCCTGCTCCACTTCTCGTTAGTGTGACTGTAATTGGTCCAAGTCGGACCGAAACGTCGTTGTAAGCGCCTCTCTTCTATGTGCAGGTTATTTGTGTACTGTACTACGAAGATTGTTACAGTACTACCATTTCCAAAGTCATAAATTTTAGAATTTTACTGGAACTGTAGAGCTAATTATGAAGGTCTAAGAATTGAAGGCTGTCAGGATTACTATTTCATAACAGATCTGTGATGTTTCTGGGAAGATATCTGGGATACTTGAAATTGAAGTCACAGGATTTTCAGATGAAGGTCTACTGCTATGACACACATTCTTCTTGGCTATTTTTTTTTTTTTTAATATTTCATGCAAGCAAAGTTGTTGCATGTACTTTGATTTCTCCCTACGTAATTTTTCATACATCAAACAAAATTCATTAGCTTTTGTTCTGTCACAAAGGAACATTGCTCTAGCACTTTGATTAATTCACCTGAGAACTCAATTAACTTGTTAATAGCAGGGCTGTGGAGTTGAAGTCAGAAGCAGTTCTTGGGTTACTGGAGTCAGTCAGTAAAAATGTACCAACTCTGACTCCTAATAAATTTAAATTGTATAAAATATAAATTAAATACACGTACTTTAACCTGGAAAAGGAATGGTAATGTACATAACTGAGTTCATTTCTTTTAAAATGGTATTTACTAAGTTGTTTTAAGTGTTCAATTGCTTTTTACTCTTTTGTAGTTTTAACTTTGAATTCTCTTTAGTAATATCAAAGGATGTACTTCAGATTTTTGAAGTAGAGAAAGAAGTTTCTGACTCGGATTTTCTTTTACAGTTTCTTTCTTTTACATCCTATTACTTTATAATGGATAGTCTTTTTATAAAAATATAACCTCATTGTTTCCATTTTTCAAGTCTTGTCCTTTGTGAAGTGGTGAATGGTTTTGAAAACCAACAAGTTGAAGAATTGAGACACTTGTGCAACACATGGGAATCTTTACTGAAGAAACGTTTTGCCACACAGTGGCTTCATCAGTCCAATACAAAGTAGAAATGGGTAAGAAGAGGAAGAGTTCGAGGTAATCAGTCCCTCAACCTGGAATCGATGTGTTCAGTCCAGGCTGAGGGACTGATTACTTCGAACTCCTCCTCTCCTTACCCATTTCTACTTTGTATTGGACTGACGAAGCCACTGTGTGGCAAAACGTTTCTTCAATAAAGATTCCCATGTGTTGCACAAGTGTCTCAATTCTTCAAGGTTACTGAGTGTTTATAATTGCTTTAATAAATAAAATAAAGCCAGAATGGCATAGCTATTATTATTACCAAAGTTGGAAAACATTTTAAAAAGATTATACTTTTAAAACACTATAACGTGTACTTCATGAAAAATGGTATGGTAATACAGAGATGAAGAAAAAGACACTTGTGTACAGTTTAGGACATTTATTAGAGGAAATATTTTACCACAAGCAGCTTTTTTAGTCCTAATACGGAGATAACTAAGAAATCAGTATATACAGTGGCAGGAGTCAGATGGCAAGCTGCATGAGGGGGTATTAGTAGTAGCAGTAATACAGTAGTGGCGAGGTGAGTTGGGTTGAGAAGGACCTGTCAACATCCTATTACAGCAGTCCCCAGAAAGAGTAATATGTTAGTTAGCAATTTCGATATAGTGTAACTTCTGGATTTTTGATGGACAGTGTTACTGACAGCAATTAGTGCAGCCTTTATAGACTTTTGCCATCACAAGTCTTTTTCCTTAATGACTATTCTAGACACACTGAATTTCAAGGGGTATCCAACACCATCCCAGTGTTGGATATGAGTTTCTACACTCGTCACGGTTGCTTGAAATAGGGAACACAAAAATGCCTGCAACAGTAATGACTGTAGAAACATGTGTATCCAACGCAGGGACAATGTTGGACTCCTCATGAAATTCAGTGAGGCTAGATTAGTCTTTAATCCTTAAACTGTCCAAATGTAGATCTACGTCTACTTGCGCAGCGCCCCGAACATAGATCTACTTTTTTTTAACATAAGAAAGCACGTAAAATCAGAGCATTACACGAGTGAATGTAGATCTGCGTTTGGACAGTTTAACCCTTTCAGGGTCGACAGGCCCTCTCAGAGACTTGTTCTCAGGGTCAGCCAAATTTCAAAAAAAAAAAAAATTCTTATGAGAATTTTTTCCCGATCATAATGACACCAAAAGTATGAAATTTGATGGAAAACTTACAGAATTATGCTCTCACGAAGTTAGTGGTCTCGACGATGTTTACGCATCGGCAATTTTGCCCACTTTGAGCCCTATTTTCAACCAATTCCAGTGTACTTGTCGACAAAAATCATAACTATTTCGCTAGAACTCCATTTTTTCTATCGAAATGAGTACAAGAAACCACCCATTTACCGATTTCAACTATCCAATACAGTGGTCAGAATTTAGCAATTTTGCCAATTTCACACAAATTTCAAAAGATGCCAATTTCCGAATAGGGTCCAGAATAAACAAGAAAGACATTCCTGGCACTAAAATAACATTTCCTCTGTTCATTAGTCACGTCCCCAGGCCCCTCTTACATTCTTTTGCTTTCCACTTTGAATTTTTATTCTCACAAAAAATAGAAGATTTACTGATATGCAGACTACTGCATTGGTGTAGAAATGGCATAAATATTATCAGTGCACTCGTGAAAGAATATTAGACTCTCCAGTTGACGTGTATTGGACACACAGCATGATTTGTTTACTACTGAACTTTGGTAAAAATCAAACATTTCTGCTACTTTGAGTGCAATTTCAAGGTAGTTTTCTTTGTAAAACCAGTCAAAATCATCTCAATTTCTGTAATATGTCTTCCATTCTATAAAATGAGACCAGGAAAACTAAAATACAACAATAAATACCATACAAAAATACAGTGCAAAGTCGCTGTTTTAATCCAAAAACATGGTCAAAGTTTTTTTTTATTATGCACTGTGTGCTGCAGAATTTTTTTATACCACGCACACTGACCACATAGACCCATTCTTTCATATGTAGGCCTACCAACTTTCTCTCACTAGATTTGAGGGCGCTAGAATTTAGGCGTACTAGTACGTCAAAAACCCTGGTGCGTAAGCCATACTAGTACGGCTGAAACCCTGAAAGGGTTAAAGGTTAAAGAAGATTTACAACAGCTACAGTATATAAAGGCTGCCCTAATCGCTGTCAGTAACACTATCCATAAAAAAATCTGAAAGTTCCACCACAAATATCCAAATCCCTAGTCAACAGGTTATTACCCATTCTGGGGACTGCTGTAACATGATGTTGACAGGTCCCTTGCAATCAAACCCATCTCACCACTACTGTACTACTACTACCAGCCCTCACGTAGCTCACCACCTGACTCCTGCCACCCTATATTGTATACTGGTTTCTTAGTTATCTCTGTATTAGGACTGAAAAAGCCACTCGTGGCTTAACGTTTCCTCTAATAAATGTCCTAAACTGTACGTAAGTTTCTTTTTTTCCACATCATACTTTGTATTCAGCAGCTCTAAAGCTGAAAAAGATATATTTACAGCTTTAAACTTTTTACATAATTTCACTGAACTAACTTTTATTTAAGCATAGTGTAATTTACTTTATTGTTGCAACAGCAGCTGGAAAAATTGGAACAGCCTTCACCCTGAGTACCATTGCAACATCCAGCATTGAAGAGATAGCTGAATATGCACCTGACACTCTTCGCTTTTTCCAGCTATATATATACAAAGACAGGTAGATACAAGACAATGATAAGTTATACCTACTCAGGCCAAAAATGCCCTATATAAAACATATATCACACGATGATACTACTGTACCACAAATTGGTAAATTACCATTAAAGCCTCTATAAAATCATATTTTCATGAAGATTATGACATCATTAAGTCCTCTTGGGGCACAATGTATAATTTATTAATCCTTTTTGAGGTACATTATTGTATTAGAACTGGTTAAATCACAAATTATTTGCAATAATATGCACAGTAATTAACCTTTACACTGTTTCCCACGCAGATAAGATTTCGTTCAGATTTTTAACCCCGGAGGGTTAGCCACCCAGGATAACCCAAGAAAGTCAGTGCATCATCGAGGACTGTCTAACTTATTTCCATTGGGGTCCTTAATCTTGTCCCCCAGGATGCGACCCACACCAGTCGACTAACACCCAGGTACACAGGTACCTATTTGCTGCTAGGTGAACAGGACAACAGGTGTAAGGAAACGTGTCGAAGTGTTTCCACCCGCCGGGAATTGAACCCAGGCCCTCCATGTGTGAAGCGGGAGCTTTAGCCACCAGACCACCATGTCTGTGATGACATTGTCACTTGAGTAGATCTACATTTTAAACACAGCACTTTCAAATATGCTGTGAGTGATACATTTTTGGCCTAGACATGAGAGAATGGGTCTGTGCAGTGAGTGTGTACATTATAAAAAGAAAGTCCTATCCCATGCAGTACATGATGGGAAATGTGGTGGTTCCACTAAGTTTTTAAAGAAATTATCAAAATACCTTTAACTACCCACAAAAGGACAATATAATTTATTAATAAATCACTAGTGCCTATAGCAAACTTTGATCTGTGAGCACCCACATACTGAATGATCAGGTTATCAACCAAGAAGCCTGGTCAGAGTGAACCACTAATGTAGGAAATCTAATCACAAGGTAGATATTGCTTAAGCATGATCCCAGAATATAAACTGTCAAAATATCACTAGAAAATTTCAGTTACACTATTCATGAATTACTGCCCAGAAACAAATCCTCAATTTTATTAAACTAAATACAGTGGACCCCCGCATAGCGACCTTAATCCGTGCAAGAGGGCTGGCTGTTATGCGAAATGTTCGCTATGTGAATGAATTTTCCCCATAAGAAATAATGGAAATCAAATTAATCCGTGCAAGACACCCAAAAGTTTGAAAAAAAAATTTTTACCACATGAAATATACATTTTCCTACACACAAAGAGAAGGATACATGCACAATAGTAGAGTAGTACATGCACAATATATATTGTGCATGTACTACTCTACTAAATGAAGAATAAATGACACTTACCTTTATTGAAGATGCAGCAATGACTGATGAGACACTGTGTCCTGGGAGTGCCTTTTCCTCCTGAGTACTGTAGGTCCTGTTTGGTATTTTCTTCCAGAACAGGCCTTATCACACTGTGTATGTCACTACGATTCTTAAATCTCTCAAACCAACCTTTACTGGCTCTAAATTCACAATATGAGCACTAGTTCCAGGCATTTTCCCTGTTCACCTGGGTGTTAGTCGACTGGTGTGGGTTGCATCCTGGGAGACAAGATTAAGGACCCCAATGGAAATAAGTTAGACAGTCTTCGATGACACTGACTTTTTTTGGGTATCCTGGGTGGCAAATCCTCTGGGGTTAATTGTTTCTTGGTATTCTCAATAAGCCACACAACAACGGTGTGCTACAGCAGCAGCAGCAGCAGCTGACGATGTTACAGCAGCAGCAGACGATGCTACAGCAGCAGCAGCAGCAGACGATGCTACAGCAGCAACAGACGATGCTACAGCAGCAGCAGACGATGCTACAGCAGCAACTGACGATGTTACAGCAGCAGCAGACGATGCTACAGCAGCAGCCAGCAGCAGACGATGCTACAGCAGCAGCAGCAGCTGACGGTGGAACAGCAGCAACAGACGATGCTACAGCAGCAACAGACGATGCTACAGCAGCAGCAGACGAATGCTACAGCAGCAGCAGATGATGCTACAGCAGCAGCAGACGGTACTACAGCAGCAGGAGCAGCTGCGGTGGTACAGCAGCAGCAGCTGACAGTGCAGCAGCAGCTGACGGTGATACAGCAGCAGCAGCAGCTGTACCACCAATAGTAGCGATGGTTGATTGGGGTTTATTATACAACCTGGCCAGCTCGGAGACACGCACTCCACTTTCATACTTATCAATGATCTTTTTCTTCATCCCATAGTAATTCTCACCCTTATTGCTGTAGGGTTGGCACTAGAAGCTTTCTTAGGGCCCATGGTCACTTATTTTCCAGAAAAAAATCACCAAAAACACTGTAATAATACAAAATGTTCCGATTGTATGCTTGGATGTTACCGCGGAGGCTGGCTGGTAAACAATGCCACCCGCGGAACATGTGAGCGTGGCTCAGGCCGCACATTGGAGGCGTCTCGGACGAAGGCCGCTGAGCGGGTTTTTGTCCACTATGCGGGGCAAAATTTTAGCGATCAAAGCGTCCGCTATGCGGATTGTCCGTTATGCAAGGCGTCCGTTATGCGGGGGTCCACTGTACAATCTCAGCCAAGGTAACATGAACATTATATGAGCCACATCTGAAGCTGGAGCATAATGAAAATATGTATTAAAGACAATGAATGTTGAATGATCATATAATATTATATATATATATATATATATTATATATATATATATATATATATATATATATATATATATACAGTGGACCCCCGCATACCGTTGGCCTTACATAACTTTAAATCCGCATACCGATACATTTTATCACTAAGATTTTCCCTCGCATACCGCTAAAAAACCCGCTCAACGCTATTCGTCCGAGACGCGTCTATGTGAGGCCTGAGCCAGCCTCACATGCTCCGCCAGTGGCATTGTTTACAAGCCAGCCTCCGCGGTAACATCCAAGCATACAATCATAACATTTCGTATTACAGTGTTTTTGGTGATTTTATCTGCAAAATAAGTGACCATGGGCCCCAAGAAAGCTTCTAGTGCCAACCCTGTGGTAAAAAGGGTGAGAAATATTATCGAAATACTGTGGTACCATGGTCAACTGCTGATGCTGCTGCTGCTGTAGCACTGTCAGCTGCTGCTGTAGCACTGTCAGCTGCTGCTGCTGCTGTTGTAGTACCGTCTGCTGCTGCTGCTGCTGTAGTACCGTCTGCTGCTGCTGTAGCACTGTCAGCTGCTGCTGTAGCACTGTCAGCTGCTGCTGCTGCTGCTGCTGCACTGTCAGCTGCTGCTGCTGCAGCACTATCAGCTGCTGCTGCTGTAGCACCATCAGCTGCTGCTGCTGCTGCTGCTGCTGCTGCTGTACCACCGTCTGCTGCTGCTGTTGTAGTACCGTCTGCTGCTGCTGTAGCATTGTCTGCTGCTGCTGTAGCACTGTCAGCTGCTGATGCTGCTGTACCACCGTCAGCTGCTGCTGCTGCTGTAGTACCGTCTGCTGCTGCTGTAGTACCGTCTGCTGCTGCTGCTGCTGTAGTACCATCTGCTGCTGCTGCTGCTGCTGTAGTACCGTCTGCTGCTGCTGCTGCTGTAGAACTGTCTGCTGCTGCTGTAGTACCGTCTGCTGCTGCTGTAGTACCGTCTGCTGCTGCTCCTGCTGTAGTACCGTCTGCTGCTGCTGCTGCTGTAGTACCGTCTGCTGCTGCTGTAGCACTGTCAGCTGCTGCTGCTGCTGTAGCACTGTCAGCTGCTGCTGCTGCTGCTGTAGCACTGTCAGCTGCTGCTGCTGCTGTAGCACCGTTGTTGGTGTGGCTTATTGAGAATACCAAGAAACAATTAACCCCAGAGGGTTAGCCACCCAGGATAACCCAAAAAAGTGTGTCATCGAAGACTGTCTAACTTATTTCCATTGGGGTCCTTAATCTTGTCTCCCAGGATGCAACCCACACCAGTCGACTAACACCCAGGTGAACAGGGAAAAACGCCTGGAACTAGTGCTCATATTGGTGAATTTAAAGCCAGCAAAGGTTGGTTTGAGAGATTTAAAAATCACTGTTGCTGGATCAGTCAGCTGTTGCTAGATCAGTCAGCTGTTGCTGGATCAGTCAGCTGTTGCTGGATCAGTCAGCTGTTGCTGGACCAGTCAGCTGTTGCTGGATCAGTCAGCTGTTGCTGGACCAGTCAGCTGTTGCTGGATCAGTCAGTGTTGCTGGATCAGTCAGCTGTTGCTGGATCAGTCAGCTGTTGCTGGATCAGTCAGCTGTTGCTGGACCAGTCAGCTGTTGCTGGAAACCCGTCAGTGTTACTGGACCAGTCAGCTGTTGCTGGACCAGTCAGCTGTTGCTGGATCAGTCAGCTGCTGCTGCACCACGGTCAGCTGCTGTTGCACCCTCAGCTGTTTTCTGTACATGACTTCGTCCCGAACCTGTCCGTCCAGCCTGAGGCCTGCCTTGCCGTCATTGTTCACAAGCCAGGGTGGCTGGTTGCATGCATACATTCGTTACATTTTGTATTTTCATTATTTATAGTGCTTGTAACTGCTAAATAAACCACCTGGGCCAAAGAAAGCTTTCTAGTGCCAACCCTGTGGTAAAAAGGGTGATAAATACTATCGTACCACAGTCAGCTGCTGCTGCACCACAGCTGCTGCTGCACCACAGCTGCAGCTGTACCATAGTCAGCTGTTGCTGCACCCAGCTGCTGCTGCACCATGGTCAGCTGCACCACAGCTGTTGTTGCTGCACCACCATTAGCTGTATTACTCGAAGATGTGGAGCAAGTGTTGTTGGTGTGGCTTAACGTGAAACAATTACCGAGAAACAATTAACCCCAGAGGGTTAGCCACCCAGGATAACCCAAGAAAGTCAGTGCATCATCGAGGACTCTCTAACTTATTTCCATTGGGGTCCTTAATCTTGTCTCCCAGGATGCAACCCACACCAGTCGACTAACACCCAGGTGAACAGGGAAAAATGCCTGGAACTACTGTAGTGCTCATATTGGTGAATTTAAAGCCAGCATAGGTTGGTTTGAGAGATTTAAGAATCGTAGTAACATACACAGTGTGATAAGGCCTGTTCTGGAAGAAAATGCCAAACATGACCTACAGTACATGCATAGAGTAGTACATGCACAATATATATTGTGCATGTACTACTCTACTATTGTGCATGTATCCTTCTCTTTGTGTGTAGGAAAATGTATATTTCATGTGGTAAATTTTTTTTTTTCATACTTTTGGGTGTCTTGCACGGATTAATTTGATTTCCATTATTTCTTATGGAGAAAATTCATTCGCATAACGATAATTCCCATAACAATGAGCTCTCATGAACGGATTAATATCGTTATGCGGGGGTCCACTGTGTGTGTGTGTGTTGTGTGTGTGTGTGTGTGTGTGTGTGTGTGTGTGTGTGTGTGTATATATATATATATATATATATAGAGGGGAGAGAGAGAGGAGAGAGAGAGAGAGAGAGAGAGAGAGGAGAGGGGAGAGAGAGAGAGAGGAGAGAGAGAGATAGAGAGAGATAGAGAGAGATAGAGAGAGATAGAGAGAGATAGAGAGAGATAGAGAGAGATAGAGAGAGATAGAGAGAGATAGAGAGAGATAGAGAGAGATAGAGAGAGATAGAGAGAGATAGAGAGAGATAGAGAGAGGGGAGAGAGAGAGAGAGAGAGAGAGAGAGAGAGAGAGAGAGAGAGAGAGAGAGAGAGAGAGAGAGAGAGAGAGAGAGAGAGAGAGAGAGAGAGAGAGAGAGAAGACCGAGACCTCTTTGCTGAACACTTTGCTACCAAAATGCAAGTTCCTGGTCCAGCAAGGGACCCTCCTTGGCTAGCTGCAAGAACTGTGTCAAAACTGTCAGTGGTGACAATAAGGCAGGAGGAGGTGCATTTCCTTCTTAAATCACTTGACCAGGAAAAGGCTGTGGGCCCAGACAAGTTGAGCCCAAGATTGTTGAGAAGATGTGCAGACCAGCTAGCAGCACCTCTAACTCGCATCTTTCAGCACTGCCTAGTACAGTGCAAATGGCCCTCTCCATGGAAAGAGGCAAATGCAGTCCCTGTTCACAAAAAGAAGAGCAGAGCAGAAATCAGCAACTACAGACCAGTGTCACTCCTGTCAATCACTGGTAAGATCCTTGAGACAATAATCTCAAGACAAATGACAGAGTTTTTTGACTACCACTCACTACTTTGTGATCGTCAATATGGCTTCAGGAAAGGTTACTCTGCTGCTGATCTGTTGTTAAACCTCTCCACTAAGTGGCACCAGTCACTGGATGAATCCAAAGTCAGCTGTGTGGTAGCACTGGACATTGCTGGTGCTTTCGACCAGGTGTGGCACCAGGGCCTCTTAGCAAAACTTCAAGCACTGGGAATTGCAGGCTCTACGCTATGTCTCCTCAGTGATTACCTTCATGGTAGATCTCTAAGTGTAGTCCTCAATGGAACGGAATCAGCAAGGCATCCTATTGGGGCAAGCGTTCCACAAGGAAGTGTGCTGGGTCCACTGTTATGGAATGTCTACTTCAACGACCTTCTTCATCTCATCCCAGAATCACATGCATATGCAGACGACTGTACACTGACATTCACTTATCCAAGAGAAGAAATGCCAGCTGCTCTAAGCTACATCAATCACCAGCTGAGAGCTATATCAGCTTGGGGAAATAGATGGCAAGTAACATTTGCACCTGAGAAAACGCAAATGATGATCGTCTCTAGGCACCATGATGGTAATGCTGGTGCAGTAGTAAGGATGAATGGGACGATGTTGGCACCTGGAGAAGAAGTTGATATCCTTGGGGTGAAATTTGACTCCAAACTAACCATGAAGAACCATGTTGTAAATCTTGCAAACAAGGCAGCCAGGAAGCTTACAGCACTTCGCCGTATCTCCATCTGCTTGACAGTAGGGGTTGCGAGATCCTGTACAAGGCACAAGTACGCTCACACCTTGAGTATGCTCCACTTTCTTGGTTTGCCTGCCCCCCACCCTCTCATCTGCGACTGCTTGACAGAGTAGAGAACAGAGCAAGACGTCTCATCTCTCGCCTGGACCCATCCTGGATAGATCTGTCATTTCAGCAGAGCCTTCAACATAGGAGGGATGTGGGTGGCCTTACCGTTATGTACAAGGCCAATATTGTCAAAATACCACACTTGGATCCACTTCGAGGACAGCGTGAAACAAGCTTTTATGCCACAAGACGGGCAGAAAGCAGCAACTTCACTCTGGCTGTACCCTTCTCCAGAACATCACTCCATCTGAGATCATGCATACCCAGGATGACTCGAGTATGGAACACATTCGTACAGTATAATGATACCAACGAGATAAAGTCAGTTGATCAAATGAAAATGCTGGCCCACAGATGGCTCTAACTTCATCCTGTTCCCTACTTGTATGTCTCATAACAATAAAAATGCTTTCAAATGAGCTGATGTAGGTAACAGCTCTTAGCTTGCCAATAAAGTTAGGAATCCTTAACCTGTAAATACCTTGTCAATAAAGCTAGGGATCCTTAACCTTGTCAAACCCTGTGTAAAAAAAAAGAGAGAGAGAGAGATGAGAGAAGAGATGAGAGAGAGAATAGAGAAGATAGAGAGAGAGAGATATAGAGAGAGATAGAGAGAGATAGAAGATAGATAGAGATAGAGAGAGAGAGAGTAGAGAGAGAGAGATAGAGAGAGAGAGAGAGAGTAAGAGAGAGAGAGAGAAAAGAGAAGAGAGAAGAGAGAGATAGAAGAGAGAGAAGAGAGATAGAGAGATAGAGATAGAGATAGAGATAGAGAGAGATAGAGATAGAGAGATAGAGAGATAGAGAGATAGAGAGATAGAGAAGAGATAAGAGAAGAGAGAGATAGAGAGGATAGAGAGAGATAGAATAGAGAGATGAGATAGAGAGATAGATAGAGAGATAGATAGAGATAGATAGAGAATAGATAGAGTAGATAGATAAGATAATATATATTATATTATATATATATATATATATATATATATATATATATATATATATATATATATATATAATATATATATATATATATATATATATATATATATATATATATATATATATATACACACACACATATATATATACAGTGGACCCCCGGTTAACGATATTTTTTCACTCCAGAAGTATGTTCAGGTGCCAGTACTGACCGAATTTGTTCCCATAAGGAATATTGTGAAGTAGATTAGTCCATTTCAGACCCCCAAACATACACGTACAAACGCACTTACATAAATACACTTACATAATTGGTCGCATTCGGAGGTGATCGTTATGCGGGGGTCCACTGTATATTATTTTCAAGAAGTCAGCCATCTCCCACCAAAACAGGGTAACCCAAAAAGAAAGAAAATCCCCAGAAAGAAAATACATTCTTTCATCATTCAACACTTTCACCTCACTCATACATAATCACTGTTTTTTCATACATACATGTACATGCATGCATGCTACATAGTTATTTAAGATCAATGTTGAAAGCAAATACATATTCAGTCTTCACCAGTATCTATCACTTTCACCAGAGAAGTAACAGCTAGCCTCGTACGAAGAGCAGAAGCAGCCAATTTCTCTGCCTTGGTTCTTACAGTTGATGCACCAAGCTTTGGGCTCCGGCGAGCAGATATTAGAAACAAGTTTGCTCTACCTCCACATCTCAGGTAAAACATTACTCACAATCCACTACACTTCTATAACTTATCCAATATCACTTAACACCTCAAACCAATGCTTTTTTGGTCCATAAACTTAAGAAAATTTATGTATGGTTGCAAAACCAATTTATACTATGTGAGGTGTTAACCCTTTCAGTATTGGTCCCATTGTACTATGCCATGAGTTCAGATAAGCTGAGAGTGGTAAATTTAGGCCTAGATATGAGATAATGGGTGTATGTAGTATGTGTGTACAATATAAAAAAATCCTACAGCACACAATGCATAAGAAAAATAACTGACTGTGTTTTTGGTTTAAAACAGCGAAATTGTGGTGTATTTTCGTATGGTTTTGATGATTGAATTCTTGAATTCTTGGGCTCATTTGATAGAATGAAACATATATTACAAAAATAGAGATGATTCTGATTGGTTTCAGGACTGAAAGTAGTTTGAAACTGAGCTCAAACCCACAAGTCTCAATCTTGACTGTTTCCGTCGTATGTACGTATACGTCTTACGAGCCACCGAGTTTGACATACGTATACTCAAAAATTCCAGCGGCTTCAAATCAAGCAGGAGGTAGGCCCACATATGAGAGAATGGGTCTGTGTGGTCAATGTGCATCATATAAAAAAAATCCTGCAGCACGCAGAGCACAATGAGAAAAAAAAAACTCCGACCATTTTTTGGGATTAAAACACCGACTTTGTGGTGTATTTTCATATAGTATTTATGGTTGTATTCTCGTTTTCTTGGTCTCATTTGATAGAATGGAAAACATATTATAGAAATAGAGGTGATTTTGATAGGTTTTACTATAAAAAGAGCCTTGAAATGGAGCTCAAAATAGGGGAAATGTTTGATATTTGCCGATGTTCAAAAGTAAAAAAATGATGTCATTGTCCAATAAATGTCCAACTAGCCATTCTAATATGCAGTTACGAATGGGTTGACATTATTTATACAATTATTACAATATCGCTGTAGTCTGCATAACAGTAAATCTTCTATTTTTTGTTTGAATAAAAATTCAAAATAGAAAGCAAGAGTAATATCGGAGGGGCCTGGAGACATGACTCATGAACAAAGAAAATGTTATTTTAGATCCAGGAATGTCTGCATTGTTCATTCTGGACCCTATTTTGAAATTGGCATATTTTTTAATTTGCGTGAAATTGGCCAAATTGCAAAATTCTGACCACGTTATTGGGTAGTTGAAATTGGTAAATGGGCAGTTTCTTGTACTCAATCGATAGAACAAATGGGGTTCTAAAGAAACAGCTATGGGTTTTGTCGACTGGAACAATGGAATTAGCCAAAAATAGGGCTCAAAGTGGGTGAAATCGCCGATTTGTAAATATCGCCGCGGAGCGCTAACTTAGCGAGAGCATAATTCCATCAGTTTTCCATCAAATTTCGTTTTTTGGTGTCATTACAATCGGGAAAAGATTCTCTATCATTTCATAAGAATTTTTTTTTTTAATTTTGCGACACCAGGAGACACCTCAGGATTGGGGGTTGCGACAGTCAAGGGGTTAAGATAGCAGAAATATTATTTTTTATTATTTTTCAGAAGGCATGGCTCCCCTACACCCCCCAGTCGGTTTTATGGATTTTTAATAGGTTCGATTCAATTACTGGGACACCATAAACCATGACCAATCCTGCTTATATTTTATTATCCAAGAAATAGGTTAAAGCTCTGACTGTTTGTGATGATGAATTCAAAATGAAATGCAAATGTAATAAAGAAGAGGCCTGGGAACATGAATAATAAATGCAGGATATGTTTCACTCCCCAGAATATTCTGTCTTCAGTGTTTATTTTTGGACTATTTTTAGACTGGAATTTTTTTTAATTTTGTAGAAAATTGGCCAAATTACCTAATTCTGTGCAATTTATAAGGGTGTTCTAAAATAATTTCAAAAAAGATACTTAAAAAGCAATTCTGTTAATCTAAAAATTAAAACCTTATTTAAATCTTCCCAGAATGGCCAATTTCCAAACAGATGATGAAAAGTCTAACTTGGTGAACACATCTTCAGGAGGTTCTGGCATTAATGAATATGTCAGCGCTCTTTTTGATCCTTCTCTAACCTGGGATGATGTTGCATGGCTTACAAGGTACAGTATAAAGAGAACCAAATACAACTATAGCTTAAATAGTACATAAAACAACCAAAACTTCCACAATGAAATGCTTATATGGTATAGCAGATTGGAATTTCTTCCCCTCTACAAAATAACATCACTGGTAACTTATCTCCATATATCACTACAGAATAACCAAACTACCTATTGTGCTCAAGGGGATCCTGACAGCAGAGGATGCCATTCTCGGATTAAAGGCTGGTGCAGCTGGTATATGGGTATCAAACCATGGAGCACGACAAGTTGATGGAGTGCCGCCAACGGTCGGTACACATTGCAATATTAACATAATTTACCTATTATTTTTCACTAAAAATAACTCAAGACTTTTATAATTGTTTATTGTAACTTAAATTCTGTATAGTACTTGAGGTCCATGACCCCTACAATATGCTTGACATCCCATTCACACACAATACAGCTCAAGTATTATTCTTATTACAGTAAATCCCAGATTAGAGAGAGGGTTACATTCCTGAAAATCAACCTCTAATTTAATGAAAGAGATGAAGTTGCAGTAAATTAAGGCTACATTTCACTTCACCTCTAAATTTGACAAAATATGTTTTTAAATTCTGCTAGAGTACATAAAAAAAATACTACAGATTATTTTACCTTACATACTGTTTGTTGTTACTTGAAGCATTTGAAATGTTGGTAGGGTAAGCATGGACTTATCTGGTATAAGTTGGATGTAGCAAGATTGGCCGATTCACTTTCTCCCCTATACACACACAGATACATTTATTTTGTTTTTTTTTTTTATATATATTATATATATATATATATATATATAATATAAAATTATTATTTATTTTTTTTTTTCAACAAGTCGGCCGTCTCCCACCGAGGCAGGGTGACCCAAAAAAGAAAGAAAATCCCCAAAAAGAAAATACTTTCATCATCATTCAACACTTTCACCACACTCGCACATTATCACTGTTTTTGCAGAGGTGCTCAGAATACAACAGTCTCGGACCACCTCTACTAGTAGTCAAGAGAAGGCGGACCTCTTTGCTGAACACTTTGCTACCAAAATGCAAGTTCCTGATCCAGCAAGGGACCCTCCTTGGCTAGCTGCAAGAACTGTGTCAAAACTGTCAGTGGTGACAATAAGGCAGGAGGAGGTGCATTTCCTACTTAAATCGCTTGACCAAGAAAAGGCTGAGGGCCCAGACAAGTTGAGCCCAAGATTGTTGAGAAGATGTGCAGACCAGCTAGCAGCACCTCTAACTCGCATCCTTCAGCACTGCCTAGTACAGTGTAAATGGCCCTCTCTATGGAAAGAGGCAAATGTAGTCCCTGTTCACAAAAAGAAGAGCAGAGCAGAAATCAGCAACTACAGACCAGTGTCACTCCTGTCAATCACTGGTAAGATCCTTGAGACAATAATCTCAAGACAAATGACAGAGTTTTTTTGACTACCACTCACTACTTTGTGATCGTCAATATGGCTTCAGGAAAGGTTACTCTGCTGCTGATCTGTTGTTAAACCTCTCCACTAAGTGGCACCAGTCACTGGATGAATCCGAAGTCAGCTGTGTGGTAGCAATGGACATTGCTGGCGCTTTCGACCGGGTGTGGCACCAGGGTCTCTTAGCAAAACTTCAAGCACTGGGAATTGCAGGCTCTACGCTATGTCTCCTCAGTGACTACCTTCATGGTAGATCTCTAAGTGTAGTTCTCAATGGAACGGAATCAGCAAGACATCCTATTGGGGCAAGTGTTCCACAAGGAAGCGTGCTGGGTCCATTGTTATGGAATGTCTACTTCAACGACCTTCTTCATCTCATCCCAGAATCACATGCATATGCAGACGACTGTACACTGACATTCACTTATCCAAGAGAAGAAATGCCAGCTGCTCTAAGCTACATCAATCACCAGCTGAGAGCTACATCAGCTTGGGGAAATATATGGCAAGTAACATTTGCACCTGAGAAAATGCAAATGATGATCGTCTCTAGGCACCATGATGGTAATGCTGGTGCAGTAGTAAGGATGAATGGGAGGATGTTGGCACCTGGAGAAGAAGTTGATATCCTTGGGGTGAAATTTGACTCCAAACTAACCATGAAGAACCATGTTGTAAATCTTGCAAACAAGGCAGCCAGGAAGCTTACAGCACTTCGCCGTATCTCCCATCTGCTTGACAGCAGGGGTTGCAAGATCCTGTATGAGGCACAGGTACGCTCGCACCTTGAGTATGCTCCACTTTCTTGGTTTGCCTGCCCCCCCTCTCATCTGCAACTGCTTGACAGAGTAGAGAACAGAGCAAGACGTCTCATCTCTCGCCTGGACCCATCCTGGATAGATCTGTCATTTCAGCAGAGCCTTCAACATAGGAGGGATGTGGGTGGCCTTACTGTTATGTACAAGGCCAATATTGTCAAAATACCACACTTGGATCCACTTCGAGGACAGCGTGAAACAAGCTTTTATGCCACAAGACGGGCAGAAAGCAGCAACTTCACTCTGGCTTACCCTTCTCCAGAACATCACTCCATCTGAGATCATACATACCCAGGATGACTCGAGTATGGAACACATTCGTACAGGATAATGATGTCAACGAGATAAAGTCAGTTGATTAAATGAAAAGGGTGGCCCCAAGGGGGAATTATCCTGTTTTTTTATGTTAAAAATAAAAATTTTTAAATGACATGTGGTAAATCTTACGCCAAAAAGTTCCTTCCGAAAAACTTCTAAAGCAGGGCCAAACCTTGAAAAAACCCCCTTGAAAAAAAAAAAAAGGGGGGAAAAAAAATGAGTGAAGAAGGAAAGAAGAGAGCGGGGGGGAATAAGAAAATTAGAAATGGAAGAGGAGGGGGGAAAAAGAAAAAAAGAAAGAAAGCTGGATCCAACTGTCAGAAGGTGAAAAAGTTAGAAAAGAGAGAAAAGAGAAATGTACTTAGAAAGATCTAAGAATAAAGAGACTGAGAGAAGAATTGAAGGAAATGAGACGAGAAAGAGGAAGAAGAGAAAGAGAGAGGAAAGAGAGTATACTAGAGAGTAAAGGGAGAGAAAGAGAGTGAATAAAGTAGAAAGAGAAAAGGAGATAGAGATTAATGTAGATGAGAAAAGAAAGAGAAAGAGAGAAAAAAGAGAGAGAAGAGAGTGAGGAGAGGAAGAGAGAGAGAGAGAGAAAGAGAGATAAGAGAGGAAAGGAGAAAGAGTGAGAAGGAGAAAGAGAGGAGAGAAAGAAAGAGAGAGAGAGGAGAGGAGAGGAGAGAAAGAGAGTGAAAGAAGAGGAGAAAGAGAAGAGTAAAGATGATAAGAGAGAGAGAGAAAGAGAGAGAGAGAGAGAGAGAGAGAGGAAAAGAGAAAGAGAGAGAGAAAAAAGGGAGAAAGAGAGAGAGAAAGAGAGAAAGGAGGGAGAAAGAGAGAGAGAGGAAAAGAGAGAGAGAGAGAAAGAGAGAAAGAGAGAGAGGAAGAGAGAGTAGAGAGAGAAAGAGAGAGAGAGAAGAGAGAGAGAGAGAGAGAGGAGAGAGAAAGAGAGAGAGAGTGAGAGAGAGAGAGAGGGAGGAGAAGAGGAGAAGAGAGAAAAGAGAGAGAGAAAGAAGAGAGAGAAAGAGAGGAAAGAGAAAGAGAGGGAAAGAGAGAGAGAGAGAGAAGGAAGAGAAGGGAGAAGAGAAAGAGAAATGAGAGAGAGAAAGAGAGAAAGAAGAGGATAGGAGAGAATGAGAGAGAGAAAGAGGAGGAGAAAAGAGAGAAGAGAGAGAGAAAGAAGAGAGAGAGAGAGAAGAGAGAGAGAAAGAGAGAGAGAGAGAAAGAGAGAGAGAGGAAGAAAGAGAGAGGAAGAGAGAAGAGAGAGAGAGAGAAGAGAAGAGAGAGAAGAGAGAGAGAGAAGAGAGAGAGATAGAAGAGAAGAAGAGAAAGAGAGAGAGGAGGGGAGAAGAGGAGAGAGAGAGAGAAAGGAGAGAAAAAGGAGAAAGAGAGTGAGGGGGGGGGAGAGAGAGAGAGAGGGGGAGAGAGAGAGAGAGAGAGAGAGAGAGAGAGTGTGTTTTGAGCTGTAGTATCAGCACACCTGTGACAAGACAGTAATGAGTGAATGATGGTGAAAATGTTTCTTCTTTTTTGGGGGCCACCCTACCTCAGCAGGAAATGGCCAGTGTTAAAAACAAAAACAGTGTGAATAGTTAATGTCATGCTTAATTAAGATTTGAATATCTTCTTTGCAAACCATTTTGTGCTAAACCTATTACTACTTTTACCAGATTGAAGCCCTACCTGAAGTAGTAAAAGCTGTCAATGGTCAATGTGAAGTCTATATTGATGGAGGATTTACTCAAGGTACAGAAATTTTCAAAGCCTTGGCTCTTGGAGCACAAATGGTAAGTTCAAATGAGTTTGCTAAATAAATAATGTATGGTTTATATATAGTATATTATTAGCCATAAAGTGAAGTTTTAATAAATAAATATGCCCAAAGTAATAATCTCCCATCTTTTGAGAGCAAAACACCAATTTTTTTTTCTTAAAAAAAAAAAAAAAGCCCCCAACATCCTCTGGTCTGTTTTAAGGGATTTTAATAGGTCTGATTAAATTATAGGGAGGCTGTAAACTATTACCAATCATTCCTGTTTTATTTTATTATCCGAGAAATAAAGTAAATCTTCTATTTTTGTGTGATTATGAACTCAAAATGGAAGGTAAGTGTAATATAGGAGAGGCCTGGGGACATGATTAATGAACAGAGAAAAATGTTGTTTTATTGTCAGGAATATACATTGTTTATTTTGGACTGTTTTTAAGTTGAAACTTTTTTAAATCTTCTATAAAACTGGCAAAATTACCAGATTCTGTGCACTTTATAGAGTAGTTGTAAAAGGTGAATGGGCAGTTTCTTGTGTGCAATCAATAGAACAGAAGGCATACTAGTGCAACAGCTAAGAATTTGGTTGAATGGAGCAATGTAACTGGCTTAAAATATGGCCCCAAGTGGGGGTAAAAATAGCTGATGCATAAATTGTGCCCAATTGCTAACTTGTGCTTGTGTAGTTAAGTTTTCCAATAAATTTTGCACCTATGGTGTTATTACCGCCACAAAAAAATCTCTACCATATTGCAAGAATTTTTTAAAAATGTGGACAGAGAGAGCAATATTAATTTCAGGGGACTAAACAACGAAATGGTTAACATCAAGTACATTCATAACCTAGAAATTGGAAATGCAAACCTAGATGATGTTATAATCTATTCTAGATCATTATCAAATGAGTGAGGAAAAGGAAGAATGCCAGGAATGAAATAAGAGTAGAAGGGAGGTGATAAGACAGTCAACACTGGTCAAGCTATGTGCTTTGTGAAGATAAGAGAGCTTGACAATGTATTGAAAGGAGGCAAGAATACAACAAAATACTGGGGCTAAAATTTATACTAGATGTGAAACAGAGCCAGTTCAACGTAACAGTATCTGTGGTCCCTAACATGACAAAGACAACCTTGTTAGTTTTTGCAAAGTTAAAATTTATGTGTTTTAAGTTGGCAAGCAAAGGAGTGGCATTTCACGAATGTATTGAAAGAGGTATAAATAATAGGGAAAAATACCTGAAACATCAGTAGAGGTAGTAGTATTAACCACGTTCAGTGAAAATAAATTAGTTGATGAAATGCAAGTTTAATATAAGGTGCTAGAGAATGGGGTGTTACAAATACCTATGTGAGTGTAATACAGTGGACCCCCGCATAACGATGGCATCACATAGCGATTTTTCCGCATACCGCTTACTTTTATCGCAAAATTTTTGCCGAGCATACCGATTAAAAACCCGCTCACCGATTTTCGTCCGAGACGCGTCCAATGTGCCCTCAGCCAGCCTCACATGTGCCGCCCGTCCCATTGTTTACCAGCCAGCCTCCGCGGTAACATCAAGC